TGTAAGAACCATGAACCTAGGTAAGTTGGATGTGGTCAAAAATGAGATGGCAAGAATAAATATTGACATCCTGGGCATCAGTGAGCTAAAATGGACGGGAATGGGCGAATTCAGTTCGGATGACTATCATATCTACTACTGTGGGCAAGAAATCCGTAAAAGAAATGGAGTGGCCCTCATAGTCAACAAAAGAGTGGCGAAAGCTGTACTGGGATGCAGTCTCAAACTGATAGAATGATCTCGATACGAATCCAAGGCAGACCTTTTAACATCACAGTAATCCAAGTTTATGCACCAACTACTGGTGCTGAAGAAACTGAAATTGACCAATTCTATGAAGACTTACAAGACCTTATAGAAGTGACACCAAAGAAGGATGTTCTTCTCATTATAGGGGATTGGAATGCTAAAGTAGGGAATCAAGAGATAAAAGGAACAACTGGCAAGTTTGGCCTTGGAGATCAAAATGAAGCAGGGCAAAGGCTAATAGAGTTCTGTCAAGAGAACAAGCTGGTCATCACAAACACGCTTTTCCAACAACACAAGAGACGACTCTACACATGGACATCACCAGATGGGCAACATCGAAATCAGATTGATTATATTCTCTGCAGCCAAAGATGGAGAAGCTCTATACAGTCAGCAAAAACAAGACCTGGAGCTGACTGTGGCTCAGATCATCAGCTTCTTATAGCAAAATTCAAGCTTAAACTGAAGAAAGTAGGAAAACCACTGGGCCGGTAAGATACAATCTAAATCAAATCCCTTATGAATACACAGTGGAAGTGAGGAACAGGTTTAAGGATTTAGATTTGCTGGACAGAGTGCCTGAAGAACTATGGGTGGAGGCTCGCAACATTATACAGGAGGCAGCAACTAAAACCATCCCAATGGAAAAGAAATGCAAGAAAGCAAAGTGGCTGTCCAACGAGGCCTTACAAATAGCGGGGGAGAGAAGGCAAGCAAAATGCAAGGGAGATAGTGAAAGATACAGGAAATTGAATGCAGATTTCCAAAGAATAGCAAGGAGAGACAAGAAGGCCTTCTTAAACGAGCAATGCAAAGAAATAGAGGAAAACAACAGAATGGGAAGAACCAGAGATCTGTTCAAGAAAATCGGAAATATGAAAGGAACATTTCGTACAAAGATTACCATAATAAAGGACAAAAGTGGTAAAGACCTAACTGAAGCAGAAGACATCAAGAAGAGGTGGCAAGAATACACAGAGGAATTATACCAGAAAGATATGGATGTCTCAGTACACCCCAGGTAGTGTGGTTGCTGACCTTGAGCCAGACATCCTGGAGAGTGAAGTCAAATGGGCCTTAGAAAGCACTGCAAATAACAAGGCCAGTGGAAGTGATGGTATTCCAGCTGAACTATTTAAAATTTTAAAAGATGATGCTGTTAAGGTGCTACACTCAATATGCCAGCAAGTTTGGAAAACTCAGCAGTGGCCAGAGGATTGGAGAAGATCAGTCTACATCCCAATCCCAAAGAAAGGCAGTGCCAAAGAATGCTCAAACTACCGCACAATTTCACTCATTTCACATGCTAGCAAGGTTATGCTTAAAATTCTACAAGGAAGGCTCAAGCAGTATGTGGACCGAGAACTCCCAGAAGTGCAAGCTGGATTTAGAAGAGGCAGAGGAACCAGAGACCAAATTGCAAACATGCGCTGGATTATGGAGAAAGCTAGAGAGTTCCAGAAAGACATCTACTTCTGCTTCATTGACTATGCAAAAGCCTTTGACTGTGTCGACCACAGCAAACTATGGCAAGTTCTTAAAGAAATGGGAGTGCCTGATCACCTCATCTGTCTCCTGAGAAATCTCTATGTGGGACAAGAAGCTACAGTTAGAACTGGATATGGAACAACTGATTGGTTCAAAATTGGGAAAGGAGTACGGCAAGGCTGTATATTGTCTCCTGCTTATTTAACTTATATGCAGAATTCATCATGCGAAAGGCTGGGCTGGATGAATCCTAAGCCGGAATTAAGATTGCTGGAAGAAATATCAACAACCTCAGATATGCAGATGACACAACCTTGATGGCAGAAAGTGAAGAGGAATTAAAGAAACTTTTAATGAGGGTGAAAGAGCAGAGCGCAAAATATGGTCTGAAGCTCAACATCAAAAACGAAGATCATGGCCACTGGGCCCATCACCTCCTGGCAAATAGAAGGGGAAGAAATGGAGGCAGTGAGAGATTTTACTTTCTTGGGCTCCATGATCACTGCAGATGGTGACAGCAGTCACGAAATTAAAAGACGCCTGCTCCTTGGGAGAAAGGCAATGGCAAACCTAGACAACATCTTAAAAGCAGAGACATCACCTTGCCAACAAAGGTCCGTATGGTAAAGGCCATGGTTTTCCCAGTAGTGATGTATGGAAGTGAGAGCTGGACCATAAAGAAGGCTGATCGCCGAAGAATTGATGCTTTTGAATTATGGTGCTGGAGGAGACTCTTGAGAGTCCCATGGACTGCAAGAAGATCAAACCTCTCCATTCTTAAGGAAATCAGCCCTGAGTGCTCACTGGAAGGACAGATCCTGAAGCTGAGGCTCCAATACTTTGGCCACCTCATGAGAAGAGAAGACTCCTGGAAAAGACCCTGATGTTGGGAAAGATGGAGGGCACAAGGAGAAGGGGACGACAGAGAATGAGATGGTTGGATGGTGTTCTTGAAGCTACCAGCATGAGTTTGATCAAACTGCGGGAGGCAGTGGAGGACAGAAGTGCCTGGCGTGCTCTGGTCCATGGGGTCACGAAGAGTCGGACACGACTAAACGACTAAACAACAACAACGGGTTCCTCCTTGGCAGCCCGTGCGATTGTTTCAGGAGGGCTAGAACTCAGGACCCGCTGCCTTGAGGGACATCTAAGAGCAGTTGGGCAGGGGAAAGGTCTCCCTTGGGAGGTGGTGGACTCTCCTTCCGTGGAGGTTTCTAAGCAGAGATCGGACAGCCATCTGCCATGGATGCTTTAGCTGAGATTCCTGCATTGCTGGGGGTTGGACTAGATGACCCTAGGATCCCCTCCTATCTCTCCACTCCTGAATTCTAGGAGGAGCTTCCTTGCCTCCTGCAAAGCCCTTTTCCCTGCAAGCTCTTCCTCTGGTTTCTGGCCAAGGGATGGAGATGCTCAGAGTCCAGCCAAGAGCCTCACCCCCAAAGGATATCTGAGCATCTCGGCAGCTGCCCCCCTAAATCCGTAAAAAAAATTCGAAATCTGAGGTTCTGCCAAGCGAGAAAGGGCTGAGCTGGAGGGACTTGGCTTGGCAAGGGTTAAAGAGAAGTGAGCTGCCTTCCTAGAGAGGACAGGAAGCAAGGGGGGGCAGGTCCTCCAGAGCCAAGGCCCCTCCCTCCCCAGTCCTTCCCTTGCTTTGGGGTCTCTCCTGCAAGGGCTGCCTCGCTGTCCCCTCCTGGGATCTGGTGAGTCTCCTCTCTCTCCCCCCAGAGGGTGCAGTGGGGAGACAGGGGGTCCCAGGGCTGCAGCAGGGGAGGATGCCTGGGGGGCCTGATCCGGGAGGGGCCAGGTCTGCCACGCTCTCCTTCCTGGAGATCAGAGGATCCCAAACTCATTTGGCCCTCCGCCCCCCCCTTTCAGAAAAAATCTCCCTTCTTTAAAGAAAGGAGTCCCAGGGACTTTAACTCTGTGTGACATCGCTCAGCCTCATTGCACAGCAGAGGAAACATGGTTTTCCAAAGCTGGATGAGGAGGTGGACTAGCCACCCCCCCACCAAAAAAAACCCCACATGGAGGAAGGAAGGAAGAAAAGGTGGGAGAGAAAGGCCAGGAACAAAGAGAGGGATCCCAGCCCCTAGTCTGGCTGCTGCATTGCGGACCAGTTTCCCAGTCGTCTCCAAGGGCAGCTCCCCACGGAGGCCACTGCAGCAATCCCCTCGCACCCAGAGCATGGCATCCCAGGACCACATCCTCTCTGTCCCAAAGGGATTGTTGCTGGCAAAGCAGCCGGAAATGGGCGCTGCTACTCACTGAACCTGCAGGGACCTTGGCATCAATGGCTGTGTGTGTGTGTGGCTGTTGAAGCTATCTAACAGTAATAATAATAATAAAATTACCCGCCTAAATTTCAAGGGAGATGTCTTTGGCACTGCCCACTTGGCCCTCAGGGGGTTGATCAGATACATACCTGGCCCTTAGAGCAAAGAAAAAGGGACCCCACTCCAGGAATCTGTCTGGAGAGCAGCAGAGAGTACAAGTGCAAGAAAAGGAGACAGAAGCAGGGGAAGGGGGGGGGGAGTAACTCCTGAGGACCCCAGGTGAGGACCCCCACTACAAACAATTCTCTTGTCTGTTGGTTCTGACTTCATGCATTGACTGGAAGGCTGCAGAAACCAGGTTGATTAATCTCCCAGAAATCCCTTCAGTTGCCTCCACATTTTGCATTGCTAGAAGGCTAGAGGCTTAGTTCTTCTCCTCTTCCTGCTCTTTCTTTTCAAAAAGATAGCTCACGGTCTGGGGTGCGGTGCAGTCCAGCCCTGGTTCCCAGCAAGACTCATCCATGCTTGCTCAGGGAACCATTCCCCCCCCCCCCCGTCCTACAAATTCTGTAACAGAACAATGTATTTGCTTCGTAGGATTTCCTTGAGCTTTTCATTACGACAGACAGAACTTGTCAGAAGACCAAAGGGTTCCTTCCGATCTCTCAGAGGCTTCCTGAGAGCACAGATGGATGAGCAAGATTCAGCTGGCCCCGAAGCAGGAAGAGGCCATGCCAGCCAAACTGGGAGCAGTGGGGGATTCTGGGAAAACCCAGTGCAGAAGATCCTGGGTGAGGAGGACACTCTATGCTCAGAGGTGCAGAGCCAGCAGTTGAGGCAGTTCTGCTGCCAGGAGGCCAAAGGACCCCGAGAGGTTTGCAGCCGACTCTACCACCTTGACCATCAGTGGCTGAAGCCAGAAAGGCACACGAAAGCTGAGATGCTGGACCTGGTGATCTTGGAGCAGTTCCTGGCTGTCCTTCCCCTGAGATGGAGAGCTGGGTGAGGGAATGCGGAGCGGAGACCAGTTCCCAGGCGGTGGCCCTGGCCGAAGGTTTCCTCCTGAGTCAGGCAGAGGAGAGAAAGCAGGTGAGAGAGACTTTCCTCTGGATACTCCCAAGGGGCTCCAAACAGGACAGAGAACATCCCATTATGGTCTGCTGATGGCCCATCCGTTTTCTGGGAAAGCATCCATGGAATGAGATCTCACAGCCTTTCTCACCATTCTCTGTTTTGAATCCTTGTTTCTTTTTCAGGGAAAGGATCTCTTTGCAGAAATGGACCTGGATTCCTGTGAGGCAGAGAGGCCTCCGTTGGACACCAGAGAGAGGCCACTGGGTAAGGAGGAAGGTGGTTTTTCTCTGTCTGGTCTCATTCTGTTGGTTTTCCAACTCATCTGAGGGTTCTTTTCATCTTGTTTTGGAGGGAAACAGTTGGGAAGAAGGGTCCAGAGGAGGGGAGATGTATTTTTGCACAACTAACATATGAAATGGGCACAAACGTCCAAATGCTCTCAGCAGGTAAGGCTTTCTCAAAGGCCCATGTGTAGTTAGAGATGCCCTGTTTCACCTGTGAGAGAAGCCAGCACTTCTGGCGTCCTGTTTACCTTTTTTCTCTTGCAGGTGACAGAATGATGCTGGCAAGACTTCCTGATCCATCTTTTCATGGGGGCAGAAGGGAAGCAGTGGCTGTGGAACCAGATCAGGTCAGGGGAAGCTGCCTTGTTGGACAGAGGCCGAGGGATGGAGCAGTGTCATGGACTGGTTGCGGACAGAGGAATGGTGGGAGGATACAGCTGGGGAACCAGGAAGGGAAGATGGCTTAGAGCCCAAGAAGTAGAGGTAGAAGAAGGATGGGTTGTCAGAGGGGGAAGAGGGAGAAGCCTGGGAAGAGGAGGTGTCAGAAGCTGAAGGGGTTACAGGGCTTAGCGAGCTGGGAGACACTGTGGCAGAATGCAGTGCAGAATCAGAGGCAGAAGAGGAAGGAGACGAGTGGGAGAGGAAGGTCGAGAGGCAGAGGTGAGTCAGAATAAGGAAGAGCCACAGGTGGCTCCCTCTCCTTTTGCCAGAAGCCACCCTCCCTGCTTGTCTCTCAGAGCCAGGAGACCCCATGCATTGCAGGAATCTCTGCTAGATCATCCAAGACAGATGGCCATCCAAAACAGGCTTATTTGATTTCTAGATTGATCACTGAATGCTCAGATTGGTTTCTAAGCAGTGGACAAATGAGAACAAATAGTGGCCTGGATTCACCTAACCAGCCCCATTGGCTGCAAAATGGGGCCTCCCTCCCATTCCTCCCCCTCTCCATGCCCCCATGAACCTCTGGAATTTGGCTCTAGGGCATAGGGAGGGAACTCCCCAGAACAGCTCAGGAGGAGAGGAGAAAGTGGACCCTTCCATCAGGCAAACTGGAATGCTTGCGTAGGCAGGATGACTTGGAAAACACAAGGTGTAGTACCACCTATATGCACAAAGACGAATACCCATAATTAAAACTTAGAATAAAATAAGCATCTATAAATAAAATGTGCAGCAAAGCAATCCTGTTGAAACAACTCCCCTGCGTGAGTGCCTGAGGGCCCTGCTCCTGCCACTCACCACCTGGCCCAGGGCGGGGCCTGACAGGCCTCATAAGCACGGTTGTTGCTGCTGCTGCTGCTGGCCAGGAGGACTCGGAGTGGCGCAATGTTCTTTTTAAAATGTTTTTTTCTTTTTTCCCTTTTGATTACTTTTTTTTGTGGGGCTGGGATGGATGTTTGGTTGGGCTCGGGAATTCTTTTGATTTTGATGTGTTTGTAATTTTTACAGTTTTTTGTTTGTATTGTTTGATTGTGGGTTCTTTTTTTTAAGGGTTTTATTTTGTTCTTAAGGGGAGGGGTCAGGGATGCCGGGGAGTGGGCCCCAGCCCACAAGATAGCTAGGGCATGTTCCCCAAGGGGGATGCCCTGGGACAACTGATCTTAGTGATCACGGGTAGGAGGAGGAGTTACGCTAAGACCAGACCATGTCATTACAGTTGAGGCAGGTTTAGTTGTTGTTTGAGGACTATCCCTGCCTCCGGGTCTGGTCCTGACTGGACGGATACTAGAATCAGCAAAGGATATCCACATGACCTGAAGGTGCTGCTGTGCAATGCCAGGTCAATGATTCATAAAACCACTGTCATCCATGACTTGATCATGGATGAAGGACTTGAGCTGGCATGTGTAACAGAGATTTAGTTGGATGAAGCAGATGGGCCTGTCCTTGCCACTGCTTGCCCACCAGGTTTCTCTTACACAGCAACCCAGGCCTTGTGGGCGGGGAGGGGGGGTTGCAGTGCCATGGTCAGATCACTTCCTGATGCAACTGGACTACTCCGCGACCCTTCCCCTCTCCAGGGAGGGGGGACCGATTCGGATGGTCCGCCCCCGCCACCTAATGGATCCAAATGGTTTCCAGAGAGTGGTAGGGGATGCTTTATCCCATGTTGATGGCCTTTCAGCTGATTCCCTGGTGGCCCGCTGGAATGTGGAGTTAACCAGGGCTATTGACTGTTTGGCTCCGAAGCGCCCTCTTCGATTGCATGGAGCCCAGACAGCCCCGTGGTTTTCCACGGATCTGAGGGCAATGAAACAATCGCTGAGACAGCTCGAGCGCTGGTGGTAGATAACTCATTCTGAAGCTGACCGGACACGGGTTAGAGCTCAATGTCGAGCCTACCAAGTGGCCGCCTTTATTACATCTGCAGAAAACAGCAGCAGGAGACCTTTTCAGGTGGTTCACAATATAGCGGAACCATCTGCTACACCTTCCCATACCAGTATGGGCTACATGATCTCCTGCAATGATTTTGCAAAGTTTTTTGCAGATAAAGTCGCTCAGATTCAGGACGAGGTAGACTCCACCGTGGGAGCAGGGCCGGGGCAGGAGAGTGCTAGTGTCCTGTCTAGTCAAGTTGCGTGGGATCAATTCCAATCTGTTACCTCTGAGGATGTGGACAGGCTGCTTGGACGAGTGAAACCAACCACCTGTCTCCTTGATCCTTGCCCATCCTGGCTTATAAAAGCTAGCCGGGAAGGGCTGGGCGATGGGCTTCGCGGGGTCGTGAATGCTTCTCTGTGAGGGAGCTTTCCCAGACCCGCTGAAAGAGGCGGTTATCAAACCGCTTATTAAAAAACCATCTTTAGATGCTGCCAATATGGCTAACTATCGCCCAGTCTCAAATCTTCCATTCTTGGGCAAGGTGATTGAGTGAGTGGTTGCTGAACAACTCTAGGCACGCCTGGAAGAAGCGGACCATTTGGATCCCTTCCAGTCAGGATTCAGGCCTCATCATGGGGACTGAAGCTGCCTTGGTCGCACTGGTCGATGATCTCTGGCGGGCTAGGGACAAAGGTGAGAGCTGTTTCCTAGTTCTGCTGGATCTCTCAGCGGCGTTTGATACCGTCGACCATAGCATCCTTCTGGACCGTCTTGAGGGGCTGGGAGCTGGGGACACTGTCATACAGTGGTTCCACTCCTTCCTCCTGGGCCGTGTTCAGAAAGTGGTGGTGGGGGGATGAGTGTTTAGACCCCTGGGCTCTCACTTGTGGGGTGCCTCAGGGTTCCGTCCTCTCCCCCATGCTTTTCAAAATCTACATGCAGCCGCTGGGAGAGATCATCAGGGGCTTTGGGCTGGGTGCTCATCAGTATGCGGATGATACCCAGCTATACCTCTCTTTCAAATTGGACCCAGTGAAGGCGGTGAAAGTCCTGTTTGAAAGTCCTGTTGGAGGATGGATGGCGGCTAACAGATTGAGGCTGAATCCTGACAAGGCAGAAATACTGTTTCTGCTAAGCCCATAAACAGTAACAGTACTTCTGCAGAAATGTTATAAGGAGTTAAGCATATATAAGTATTTCAGTTTTAATGGAAAATAAGGTTAAAAAATACGTTATTTACAATATCACAGAAAATGGAGAAAGATGGAAAGGATTTGCTGAAACAATTAATAGAAGTAGAATACAAAAAGGGAGGTGAGAGGAGGTCGAGGAAACAAGGGAATGAAAGATAGAGTATGGAAAAGAGATGATGTATGTTTTTAAAAAGTTTTTGTTTTGTTTCATTTAGGGTTAAGGTTAGGGAGTGGGGTTTGTTTAGTTTAGTTTAATGTGTTGAGTTTTGAGTTTAGGTTGTGTTTTGTATTGTCTATATATTGTATTGTATTGTATTGTTTTTTGTGTTTTTTTTTTGCTTTTCTCCTTTTTTCCCCCCCTGTTTTTTCTTTCTTGGTTTTTTTTCTCTTTTTGTAATCTATAAAAGTAATAAATATGATTTTTTTTTTAAAAAAAGTACTGTTTTGGGGGGACAGGAGGCGGGCAGGTGTGGGGGACTCCCTGGTCCTGAATGGGGTAACTGTTTGCCCTGAAGGACCAGGTGCGCAGCCTGGGAGTCATTCTGGACTCACAGCTGTCCATGGAGGCACAGGTCAATTGTGTGTCCAGGGCAGCTGTTTATCACCTCCATCTGGTACGCAGGCTGAGACCCTACCTGCCCTCAGACTGTCTCACCAGAGTGGTGCATGCTCTGGTTATCTCTCGCTTGGACTACTGCAATGCGCTCTATGTGGGGCTACCTTTGAAGGTGATCCGGAAACTACAACTAATCTAAAATGTGGCAGCTAGACTGGTGACTGGGAGCTGCCACCGAGACCATATAACACCAGTCTTGAAAGACCTATACTGGCTCCCAGTACGTTTCCAAGCACAATTCAAAGTGTTGGTGCTGACCTTTAAAGCCCTAAACGGCCTCGGTCCTCTATACCTGAAGGAGTGTCTTCACCTCCATCGTTCTGCCCAGACACTGAGGTCCAGCGCCGAGGGCCTTCTGGCAGTTCCCTCGCTGCGAGAAGCCAAGTTACAGGGAACCAGGCAGAGGGCCTTCTCGGTAGTGGCACCCGCCCTGTGGAACGCCCTCCCACCAGATGTCAAAGAGAAAAGTAACTACCAAACTTTTAGAAGACATCTAAAGGCAGCCCTGTTTAGGGAAGCTTTTAATGTTTAATAGATTATTGTATTTTAGTGTTTTGTTGGAAGCCACCTAGAGTGGCTAGGGAAACCCAGCCATATGGGCGGGGTATAAATAATAAATTATTATTATTATTATTATTATTATTATTATTATTAACAGGAAGGAAATAACAGAGCATTGTGTTTGTTGTTGTTTAGTCGTTCAGTCATGTCCGACTCTTCGTGACCCCCTGGACCAGAGCACGCCAGGCACCCCTGTCTTCCACTGCCTCCTGCAGCTTGGTCAGACTCATGTTTGTAGCTTCGAGAACAGTGTCCAACCATCTCGTCCTCTGTCGTCCCCTTCTCCTTGTGCCCTCCATCTTTCCCAACATCAGGCTCTTTTCCAGGGAGTCTTCTCTTCTCATGAGGTGGCCAAAGTATTGGAGCCTCAGCTTCACGATCTGTCCTTCCAGTGAGCACCCAGGGCTAATTTCCTTAAGAATTGATGCGTTTGATCTTGCAGTCCATGGGACTCTCAAGAGTCTCCTCCAGCACCATAATTCAAAAGCACCAATTCTTCGGCGATCAGCCTTCTTTATGGTCCAGCTCTCACTTCCATACATTACTACTGGGAAAACCATGGCTTTAACTATACGGACCTTTGTTGGCAAGGTGATGTCTCTGCTTTTTAATATGCTGTCTAGGTTTGCCATCGCCTTTCTCCCAAGGAGCAGGCGTCTTTTAATTTCGTGACTGCTGTCACCATCTGCAGTGATCATGGAGCCCAAGAAAGTAAGGTCTCTCACTGCCTCCAATTCTTCCCCTTCTATTTGCCAGGAGGTGATGGGACCAGTGGCCATGATCTTCGTTTTTTTGATGTTGAGCTTCAGACCATATTTTGCGCTCTCCTCTTTCACCCTCAATAAAAGGTTCTTTAATTCCTCCTCACTTTCTGCCATCAAGGTTGTGTCATCTGCATATCTGAGGTTGTTGATATTTCTTCCAGCAATCTTAATTCCAGCCCAGCCTTTCGCATGATGAATTCTGCATATAAGTTAAATAAGCAGGGAGACAATATACAGCCTTGTCGTACTCCTTTCCCAATTTTGAACCAATCAGTTGTTCCATATCCAGTTCTAACTGTAGCTTCTTGTCACACATAGAGATTTCTCAGGAGACAGATGAGATGATCAGGCACTCCCATTTCTTTAAGAACTTGCCATAGTTTGCTGTGGTCAACACAGTCAAAGGCTTTTGCATAGTCAATGAAGCAGAAGTAGATGTCTTTCTGGAACTCTCTAGCTTTCTCCATAATCCAGTGCATGTTTGCAATTTGGTCTCTGGTTCCTCTGCCCCTTCGAAATCCAGCTTGCACTTCTGGGAGTTCTCGGTCCACATACTGCTTAAGCCTGCCTTGTAGAATTTTAAGCATAACCTTGCTAGTGTGTGAAATGAGTGCAATTGTGCGGTAGTTGGAGCATTCTTTGGCACTGCCCTTCTTTGGGATTGGGATGTAGACTGATCTTCTCCAATCCTCTGGCCACTACTGAGTTTTCCAAATTTGCTGGCATATTGAGTGTAGCACCTTAACAGCATCATCGTTTAAAATTTTAAAGAGCTCAGCTGGAATATCATCACTTCGACTGGCCTTGTTATTAGCAGTGCTTTCTAAGGCCCATTTGACTTCACTCTCCAGTATGTCTGGCTCAAGGTCAGCAACCACACTATCTGGGGCGTACGAGACATCCATATCTTTCTGGTATAATTCCTCTGTGTATTCTTGCCACCTCTTCTTGATGTCTTCTGCTTCTGTTAGGTCCTTTCCACTTTTGTTATGAAAATCTTTGTACGAAATGTTCCTTTCATATCTCCAATTTTCTTGAACAGATCCCTGGTTTTTCCCATTCTATTGTTTTCCTCTATTTCTTTGCATTGCTTGTTTAAGAAGGCCTTCTTGTCTCTCCTTGCTATTTTTTGGAAATCTGCATTCAATTTCCTGTATCTTTCACTATCTCCCTTTGCTTTCTTGCATTTCCTTTTCATTGGGATGGTTTTAGTTGCTGCTTCCTGTATAATGTTACGAGCCTCCATCCATAGTTCTTCAGGCACTCTGTCCACCAAATCTAAATCCTTAAACCTGTTCCTCACTTCCACTGTATATTCATAAGGGATTTGACTTAGATTGTATCTTACCAGCCCAGTGGTTTTTCCTACTTTCTTCAGTTTAAGCTTGAATTTTGCTATAAGAAGCTGATGATCTGAGCCACAGTCAGCTCCAGGTCTTGTTTTTGCTGACTGTATAGAGCTTCTCCATCTTTGGCTGCAGAGAATATAATCAATCTGATTTCGATGCTGCCCATCTGGTGATGTCCATGTGTAGAGTTGTCTCTTGTGTTGTTGGAAAAGAGTGTTTGTGATGACCAGCTTGTTCTCTTGGCAGAACCCTATTAGCCTTTGTCCTGCTTCATTTTGAACTCCAAGGCCAAACTTGCCAGTTGTTCCTTTTATCTCTTGACTCCCTACTTTAGCATTCCAATCCCCTATAATGAGAAGAACATCCTTCTTTGGTGTCATTTCTATAAGGTGTTGTAAGTCTTCATAGAACTGGTCAATTTCAGTTTCTTCAGCACCAGTGGTTAGTGCATAAACTGCCGGGATTCAAGCCTATATCAGTAGTAACTGGTAACTCTCCAGGCACCCGGCTTGATCTCCTGTTGACCTCCCTGTCTGCATTCCCCAGCAAGATCCAGGCAGAGGTCGCGATAGGCGATTCTTCTCAGCATGAGAAGAACACACACCCTCTTTCCTGCCCCCCTGGCAGGGGAAAGAGATAGACAGAAACGTATTTACATTCCTTTATTTCTGTCTTTGCAGCATTACAGAAAACATGACTGCTCTCTTCAAGCTCCAGCAGTCGAGAGACCAACACATCCTATACTTCCTGTACAGGAACAAGAGGAAGAGCTCATATTACACTCTGAGCTAATTCCGGTGCACTGCCCTGTGAACTGGCTGTCCCTCTGTTTCCCACGGACAGTCCCAACATCATGTGATGTTTTCAAGCTAGCAATTTGCAGCTGCATTGCATCTATATCGTAACATAAACTTGGATTACTGTGATGTTAAAAGGTCTGCCTTGGATTTGTATCGAGATCATTCTATCATTTTTGAGATTGCATCCCAGTACAGCTTTCGCCACTCTTTTGTTGACTATGAAGGCCACGCCATTTCTTTTACGGGATTCTTGCCCACAGTAGTAGATATGATAGTCATCCGAACTGAATTCGCCCATTCCCGTCCATTTCAGTTCACTGATGCCCAAGATGTCAATATTTATTCTTGCCATCTCATTTTTGACCACATCCAACTTACCAAGGTTCATAGTTCTTACATTCCAGGTTCCTATGCAGTATTTTTCTTTACAGCATTGGACTTTCCTTTCGCTTCCAGGCATATCCGCAACTGAGCGTCCTTTCGGCTTTGGCCCAGCCGCTTCATCAGCTCTGAATCTACTTGTACTTGTCCTCCGCTCTTCCTCAGTAGCATGTTGGACGCCTTCCGACCTGAGGGGCTCATCTTCCAGCGTCATAACTTTTATATGCCTGTTGCTTTGTCCATGGAGTTTTCTTGGCAGGGATACTGGAGTGGCTTGCCGGTTCCTGCTCCAGGTGGATCATGTTTGGTCAAAACTCTCCACTATGACCTGTCCATCTTGGGTGGCCCTGCACGGCATAGCTCATAGTTTCTCTGAGTTATTCAAGAGCATTGTGTAGCAGATTATATTTCTGCTGTCTCAGAGGAGGACATATCCCTTTTTCTTTTAGGGTCCAGTGTGCTTTGAAGATGTTGCTGTTCGTTTCACGGACGAGGAGTGGGCGATGCTTGATCCTGACCAGAGAGCTCTGCATAAGGACGTCATGGAGGAGAATTGTGGGATATTGGCCTCTCTTGGTAAGGCTCCCTGTGGGATCGTCATATCAGTCTGGAAATTCAAAAAATACCTTTATGTGACCAACCTCATCTATTTTCACAGAGCTCAACAGCGCCCCATATAACACCTGGGAACCTAAAACCCTCACAATAAAGAGTTAATTACAGTTTTTTCTTTGAACAACCTTCCTCAAATTATTCCTTTTTCTACCACAATTGGGCTGGTCTGAACTTCCCAGGCCATCTTCAATGTCAGCTTCAGAATTGTTAGGAAAAATAAGTAGCTTCAGGTTTTTGTTTTTGCTCCTGTCAGTCTTGGGTTGACCAAAGAGACGACTGGCAGCGAAGCTCAGGTGCTGCCAGCCAGAGAATAAGCAGGCCTAGGGAGAGGAGAGTTAGCAGCAGAAGGCAGAGAGGAGGGGGAGAGGAACTGTCATCTGAGCTCTGAACAAAGGGGAGAAGAAAAAGAGAGACAGAGTGACAGACAGCTGTGTGAGAGCTACAGGAGTGAGTCAGACGCTGGAATGCAGGAAGCATTCTCTGCCAAATTTAAAGATACTGGAAGAGAAGGTGGGGGCTTCCGTGCTGGGGAAGGGGGAGGAGCTCAGTCTGGGCAACTCCATCTTGTGGGGAGGACGATGAGTAGAGGAGCTCCGTCCAAGTTTGTTGCTTTAGCAATAAATCTGAAATTATTAACAGCCAGAGTCCTCTCACGTTTGTGGGAGAGACCAAGCCATAACAAGGACTGACATTGGAGATTGAGGGGATGCCATGACTGGGCCAAACAAAATCCATCCCAGAGAAGAGCTAGGCTTATGGAATCTCAGGTAGTAGTAGCAGTGATGAGGATGATGATGATACAGTGGTACCTCGGTTTACAAAATTAAGCTTTTCCAGAACAGGTACCACTGTAGTAATAATAATAATTTTTATTTCTACCCTGCCCATAATAATAATAATCTGATTCCATATAAAAAGAACATTAACTTTAAAATGAACAGCTTATACTAGTGGCCAAAATTGTGGAAAGCTTTTGTGAAAAGTGTATTTCTGAGGTTTGATGGCTCATAACTCCACCTGTGGAATAATGCCATAAAATTATATAGCAATGGAAAGATATTTTAATGAAGAATGTAATGCAATGACTTTTATGAAGGAGTATTTTTTAGAACAGCAGTCATAACCATTGGTAACCATTAGCTTTCACTACTGCCTTACAATGCCTTCCCATGAAGTGAACCAAGTTTTTAGTTCTGCAACTGTAAGAATGTGAAACCAAGATTGAATTATTGCCTCTGTTCATTGGGCTTTATTGCTGGGTTACTTCTGACTAACAAGTTTCTTTCAAGTATTTCATTTATGTATTTGGGGTCATTTACATTCCCATTAATGACACAAATTCTGCCCACACCTTTTGCTGCCATACAACCCCAGATCATCACACTATCTGGGTGTTTCACGGTCGGTGTAATGCAAGTAGCATGTAAATCTTCTCTGATTCTTCTCCTCATGTATTTCATGCCATCACTACCAAGCAAGGAGATTTGGGTCTCATCACTCCAAATAACACTGTCCCATTGTTCCACTGTCCAGTTAACATGGGTTTAATCTTTTCAACCTTTGCTTGAGAGATAACAATGGCTTTTTCCTTAGAATTCTAACATTTTGACCAGTCCTTGTACTCAACTTCACATTGCATTTCGCCATGTCATCTTGTATACACCAAGATGATTTTCTTCTGTCAGGTAGGGACAGTCTCTCCATTCTTCGATCGTCACTTGCCTTTGTGCACCTCTTCCTGCCTTTACCAGTCTGATTTTGTAGTGCCTGAGTCTCCTTATACCTCTTCAAAAATATAGAAAGGCCAGCTTTGGTTATGTTTTCCCCAATCTCTCTTCAAATTTCTTCATAATTGTAGCCTTGTTCACTTAATAGTACTATTTTACATCGCTTTCTGGGTGACCCGTCAACTCTTTGTGCCATTTCTATAATTTTATTATGTTTTACAACCTCACTAAATGAAAGAACACAAAAAAAACCAACCAACTTGATAGCAATCACATAACACATTGACAAAAGTAAACCTAAGCAAGTTGTGCTTCCTTTTTCTGGTTATTTGACTATAACATTTGATAAAATATGAGTAATTGAACAAACTTGCATTCTTGATGGATTGCATTCTTGATTAAATTATCTTTCCATTGATATACAATTTTATGTTATTCCTATAAAAGAAGTGGTGTTATGAGCTATCAAACCTCTGAAATACACTTTTTTCCAAGAGTCTTCCACAATTTTGACCACTACTGTATATTAAACAAACCAACATTCAACAACTCATCAAAAGCTAATAATAAATATGTTGGTTAATGACAAACAACACAGGTAATGAACACCCCCCCCAACTTCCTTCAGTTCTTCTCCATTTGTTCCTGAGGCTCTAATCCCTTTTGTCTCTATTGCAGATTGTGATGAATCGGAAATCGAGAACAAAGGTGACCACGATAAAATCCCCAGAGAGGAGAAGCCACGTAAAAATTTGGAGTGTGGAGAAAGCTGCAGTCAGAGCTCCCATTCCATTTCCCATCAACAAAATCTCATTGGAAAGAAACTCTATCAGTGCATGGAATGTGGAAAGTGCTTCAGTCGGAGCTACAATCTCACTTCCCATCAAAGAACTCATACAGAGGAGAAACCCTATCAGTGTGTGGAATGTGGAAAGAGCTTCCGTCAGAGCTCCCAACTCATCTCCCATCAAAGAATTCATACAGGGGAGAAACCCTATCGGTGTGTGGAATGTGGAAAGAGCTTCAGTCAGAGCTCCTCTCTCACTTACCATCAAAGAATTCATACAGGAGAAAAACCCTATCAGTGTGTGGAATGTGGAAAGAGCTTCAAGAAGAGCTCCGATCTCACTTCCCATCAAAGAGTTCATACAGGGGAGAAACCCTTTCAGTGTGTGGAATGTGGAAAGAGCTTCAGTGACAGCCACAGTCTCACCTCCCATCAGAGAATTCATACAGGGGAGAAACCCTATCAGTGTGTGGAATGTGGAAAGAGCTTCAGTCACAGTCAGAATCTCACTTCCCATCAAAGAATTCATACAGGAGAAAAACCCTATCAGTGTCTGGAATGTGGAAAGAGCTTCAGTCAGAGCTCCCATCTCACTTCCCATCAAAGAACTCATAGAGGGGAGAAACCCTATCAGTGTGTGGAATGTGGAAAGAGCTTCAGTCACAGTCAGAATCTCACTTCCCATCAAAGAATTCATACAGGAGAAAAACCCTATCTGTGTGTGGAATGTGGAAAGAGCTTCAGTCACAGCCACCATCTCACTTCCCATCAAAGAATTCATACAGTGGCGAAACCCTATCAGTGTGTGGAATGTGGAAAGAGCTTCAGTCATAGCTCCTCTCTCACTTCCCATCAAAGAATCCATACAGGGGAGAAACCCTATCAGTGTGTCGAATGTGGAAGGAGCTTCAGTCATAGCTCCTCTCTCACTTCCCATCAAAGAATCCATACAGGGGAGAAACCCTATCAGTGTGTCGAATGTGGAAGGAGCTTCAGTCATAGCTCCTCTCTCACTTCCCATCAAAGAATTCATACAGGGGAGAAACCCTATCAGTGCGTGGAATGTGGAAAGAGCTTCAGTCAGAGCTCCAATCTCACTTCCCATCAAAGAGTCCATACAACGGTCGAAAAAACCATTATACAGCTTTAGGAACCAGGCAGACGCACCTTTTTAACCAGGTTTTTTGCTGATTGACATCTAATGCCCTTTTTAATAGGTGGTGTTTTTTTGTTGTTGTAACCATCCTGAGGCCTTTGGTGTAGGGAATAGGTGCCAACTCTTAAAGGCCTAGGGGTCTTTGCCCCACCCCCCAATAAAATATTTAAGGATGCCACCCCCCAGATTTGGTGTGTATTTTTCCAAACACAGCCTTTTATTCTTCTGCAGCTTGCCATACAATTTCTCTTTCAATTTGCCCTCTTAAAAAATAAAAAAAATAAATGCACAAAGGTCATGAGGAAAACAAAATACAAGAAAATACAAACGTGGACAGGTCCCATCTTTGCAGGTAAAACGGAAAAGTTGCTTTGAAGCTGGGTTTCCCAAGCTTAGGTCCCCATCAGCTCCCGGACTACAGTTTCCATCATCCCTCCCCATTGGTCCTGCTAGCTAGGGATGATGGGAGTTGCAGTCCAAAAACAGCTGGAGACCCAAGTTTGCTTTAAAGGGAAAGTAGGCTGGCCCTGTGACACCCTCTGTTGGTTAATTGGAATTAACAGAGCGCAAAACTGAAGTTTGATCGGCACGTCAACCTCTAGGGAGCTTCTATGTGCTTTCTGCGCCACCTAGAGTACCCACAGAATTGTGGCTTCTACTGGCAACACACATAGGAGAACAAATGAAAGACAAACACAAGGGGCAGGAAAAAACCTGGAAAGGGCCATACCAAATGGAGATCCGGTGTGAAGACGTCACTTTCCCCACTGCTGAACAATGCCACAGGTAGAGGAGATGGAATGCTAGAAGTGTCTCTGGGGCAAGGGGAGCTGCTGGGAAACTGAACTATGGGCTCAAAATATTACTGCTTTAAAAAGTTGCCGCCTTTATAGGCATTGCCATTCAAATGGCATGCATGCATCATGTGATTGATTGTGCAAGGTACCTGGCCCCCCATCAACATTTTATTCAAGTCGGCAGCACTGGGTCGGGTGGTTTCCAAATTAAATAAAGACATGAATCTCCTTCCTTTGCACATGTTCCAGCTTGTCAATATCCTCATTTATTATTTTTAAGATTTATTTGCCCTTCATCTGAAGATTTTACATTATAAACATACAGGATGAAAGCATGGCTTTCTCAAAAACAAGTGATGCCAAAGAAATCTCTCCTTTTCTTTTCTTTTTGTGGATGGAGTTACAATGTTTGTTGATCAGGGGACTGCTGTGGAAATTGTGCATCTCGATTTCAGTAAGGCTTTTCACAAAGTCCTCTGTGATGTTTATGTGAGGAAGGTGGTAAAATGTGGGCTGAATGAGGTAACTGTTAGGTGGATTTGACTGACCAAACCCAAAGAGGACTCCTTCATGGTTCCTCCTCATCCTGGGGAAAAGTGACAAGAAGGGTACTGCAGGGTTCTGTTCTGGGCCCGTTGTTGTTCAAGGTCTTGATAAGTGACTTGGATGAAGGAACTGAGGGGATGCTCATCACATTTGCAGACAACACCAAACGGATCATAATGGCGTCCTCTCTCTTTTTCAGCAACAGACAGGGAGACAAAGAACAGCGCAAAAGCACAGCAGAGCGGAAGAGATAAGACTGACTTCCGTTCTTACACTTTCCAAGCCTAGGAAAGTAAACAGCTTCATGTTCAAAATGAACTTTCTTAAACACCCTGAAGCCTTTTTATTAGGTATCCCAAACCAAGAGCTGCCAAAAAAAAAGAAAAATGGATATTATTTATGTATGGTACACCAGCGGCCAGAATCTTGATTGCACAATATTGGAAGACGGAAGACATACCATCAAAGGAATAATGGAGAGAAAAACTGATGAACTATGCAGAGTTGGCTAAGCTAACAGATAAACTATGAGAGAAGGACAAAAAGGACTTCAAAAGAGTCTGGGAACCATTTACAGTCTATTTGCAGAAACAACAAAATGGACTGGATTCACTGGCAGGGTTTGAATAAACGTTCACAACTTTATTTCAGTAACAGATACTTTAGAGAAATGATTTGGGAAATTGCTTTTATATAAGAAAAGCAGGATACAACAAATAAAGCTAAATAACTCAGCAGAGGGGAAGTTGAGGGAAGTCCAGAGGAGGGGAGGGAAAACAATGGTAAATAACATGATGATTGAGATCTGTATTTTTATTTGTTATAAAATTCAATAAATATTCTTTTTTTTAAAAAAAAAGAAAGTACAGTGGTGCCCCGCAAGACGAATGCCTCGCAAGACGGAAAACCCGCTAGACGAAAGGGTTTTCCGTTTTTGAGTTGCTTCGCAGGACAAATTTCCCTATGGGCTTGCTTCGCAAGACGAAAATGTCTTGCGAGTCTTGAGATTTTTTCCCCCCCCTTTATCTAAGCCGCTAAGCCTTTAATAGCCTTTTAGCAGCTAATCCGCTAAGCCGATAAGCCTTTAATAGCCGCTAAACCGCTAATAGCGCTAATCCGTTAAGCCGCTAATAGGGTTGCTTCGCAAGACGAAAAAACCGCTAGACGAAGACACTCGCGGAACGGATTAATTTCGTCTTGCGAGGCACCACTGTAAATTCATCCAAGCTTTGCTCTTTGGTAGAAAAAGATGGAAGGATTGGTTTTCAGAGTTTGTAATAGAGTTTTAAGAAGTGGGAGGTGAAAGCGGTGATGTTTTGGAGCAGAGCTGGCGATATCAAGCATTTGAGTGATTATCTGGGGATTTTCATCACTTTGTCTGTTATTCAAATCAGACTTCAAATAGGCTAAAGTCCAGCCAAAGTTTAAAGCACATACAAATTCATAATTAGGTGGAATGTGCCTTGACCAAACTTTTATTACTGGCTTTTGGTGGGAAAGTTGAGTTGTTGGGTTGTCTGAATTTTGAAGTTCTGATTTATTTAAAGTTTCAGATCTATAAGCCTGCTTGCTAAGCAAAAAGAAACAGGAAAGCATATGTATCAGAAATGTCTTAGGACATCAAACTGGGAAAGTGGATTTTAAACTAACTGAAAAGGTTTTATGCCCTTGGGAATTTGGTCTCTTAAACCTTAAATCTACCCCTTCGCCTTCCTTGAGTCCCTGGTAAGAAAAGCCAATCATGGCTTTATTCAAATGGTAACTTAGTCAGGTGATGCGACACTTCAAATGGTATAATAGATTGCTGAATCATGTACCCTGTACATGTACAGTGGCTACGTTAGTTTAAAAAAAGAAGAAAGGAAAAGAAAAAGTAGGTTTAAACCAAGAGGTGACAAAGCTATGCTCTGCACATGAAACTTGATTCAAATTTCTTTTTGTAAAATTGGGAGCCATTAAGGGAACTGCAGTAAGAAGTACCCCTTTTGTGTGTTTGTGTAAAATGGTTGGTTGCCCCAAATCTTTGCCCCAGGGGGTCCCAAAGGGGAAATAATGGTGAAGTACTGAACCATCAACAATGGAAGAAAGGTTGCCAAGGTCCAAATATAACATGCAAGATTCTTTCCACAGGTAAATTTCAGAGTTCTCCCACTCTGAATTGTCTCTGAGTAGTTGTTTTATTTAATGGATTTTTATTGATTTTATCAGGTTTTGTTTTGTGTGTATATACCTATGCATTATAGCAGGGACTGAAGGGGGACAGTTAGGGGGAACAGTTAGGTTACCCTAAAACTGTTTGTGAATTTCCTCCCCCAGCCAGGCCTCAAAGCCTCAAGCACTTTTCAAACTGCACTTTTCAAAGTTTCTCTCTCTCTAAGGCTAAAAGCTTTTAGCTGAGCATCTTTCTATGTAACAAAGGTAGCTGAATTAGAACAAAGCCTTTTCGCTTCTCAGGCCTAGCTGACCTTGTCAAACAGTACATCTAGATTGTTGCAAACTTTTCCGGGAACAGAGCCAAGGAACAAGAGAAACATTTCTATGCAATCCTGTGAAGGGGGAGAGGGAAAAAGGGGGTTTGGGAAAAAGGATAAAAACCTGCTGTAAAATGTTTTTTTCTGCGGCCTGTTTTGTGAATCCATCACACAGGTGCCTCTGCCCCCCCCCCCACAGCAGAATAAAGCTCTTTCTCTGGATTTAACCCCTTGGTGTCGATTGACCCTTTTCGTCTCTGCCCAGGTGCAACGTTTTCCTACCCATGGTTAAAAGGCCTAGAAAGGCTACAGGACGTCCAACTTCCAAGATGCTGAGATCTACTCCCAGTAATAAAAAACCTGCCAGTGATCTACCCATTGTCTTTGCCCAGAGTTGTGGAGCTTTTCTCAGGGAGCAGTGACCAGAGTCGTGGATCGACCAGTAGATGGCGATTGACCTGTTGCACATGCCTCCATTCTAGGAACAGCATCCCTGACGCAGAATTTCACAGGAAGGCCCTAAGATGATTCCCCTTTCAGACAGGATACCTGAACATAAGGCAGCAGGGTCCTCCTCTCCGGCAGCCCCAGAACGGCCTCTGCTGTCCGGTGCTTGGACACCTGAAGGGCATGGAGGCCTCTCAGGGCAGCTGCCTGGCAGCTCTGCATCACCTGGAGCAAGAGATCTTGCTCTGGCTCCAGCAAAAGTCAGGCTGTCAGTTCCTCACAACTGAGAGTCCTGGCAGCGGGGAGCAGGTCTGAGGGATCATCTCCCTCATAGCTGTCAACTTTTCCCTTTCCTTGCGAGAATCCTGTTCGGAATAAGGGAATTTCTCTTCAAAAAAGGGAAACGTTGACAGCTATGCTCTCCCTACTCATTTCCTCCAATACTCACCATTGCTGGATGAAGAAAGCCTGTGGCACATCTTCAGGAAGAGAAAAACAAGTAATAAATGAAATAAGAAACTGAGAAAATAAGAATCCACTGATTGCCTCACCTTGTCCTCCGTCAACTGCCACCAACTGCTCTCTCCTCCACTCGCCTCACTGCTAACCCAAAATGGCCGCCTGCAAGTCTGTGGCTTTTACCGGTCCTTGTCACCGTGGCAACCCCCCTCCCCCTGGACCTGGGCCCACCTGGCTCCACCTATTGGGACATGATCTATAATGAAATGAAAAA